CAAAAGCTCACACACCTTTGTGTGTGTATAGTAAACATCTGTGGTTACCATATGAGATAAGATGTCAATACGGAGCTATCCTGTTTCAACTTTTATACATATAAACCAGAAACATTTGTATAAGAACTAGTTTGTTGATTAACCATTAAGTTGAGTTGGAGTAAATTCGTGTCAATTGAATCAGAATCGGTTCAGAATCAGAATGAGATGATGTATGAAACTGTAAACTGTAGCCTATATATGTATTATAAGGCATTTACATTAAATGCATGCTATGCGTGGATAAAACTTACTAGGTGGAGTTAAACTTTTTTCTTTGTTGTGATTTTGTCTTGTATTTAAGTCAAATGAAGAAGAAAAAAATAGTCCTAAAATGAGACCTAGAAGTGTTGAAGGTAACCAATTTTGAAAATAGTACCAAAGCTAAAACAATTGCTTGCTTTGTTTTCATATTCGATGCATAAAGCACGTGCGCGCTCTCTCTCTCTCGTGGTACTAGTTAGTTGAGTTCTATTATAATGTATGACTGGCAAAAGCACATTCCTAAGAAACTTTTATTGCCCACGGGGGAAGAGTCCACAAACTTGGAACAATCGCGCCTTCTTTAAGGATCCCCAACCCCCTTCACATCCAGAGATTTGACTCGTTTAGGACAAAGTTTCGCTTTGTTTTATAGTAAGGTTCTCTATGCGAAAATGCGTGAAAGTGTTACAAAATAAGGCAAAGGTGTTTAAATGCTGTAAATTCAGCCGAACACTTCTTAGTTATCGCTTTTGTGTGAGAAGCACTCCTATTATATTGGCAACTACAATAACCGATACTTAAAAAAACTTGGAAAACACTTCAGAACTTTTTCCAAGAGCTTCTGGAAATGTTTAGGCTACTTAAACAAAATCAGCAAACTGTTTTTCTAAACACTCCGTGAGGATTCAAATTATACAGCCTACCTCAATTATCTGGTCCAAATCATCCTTATTTAAGCAGGGATATTTCATTAATAACTCGGCAGTGCGGTTTTTATAATCGTCCAGAGCTGCCTTTAAATGCGGCTCCTCGAAGATCTGAAATATCGCGGCTCCGATGGACAGGTAGAAAATGATGACTGAGGTAAGAATCGGTCCTTTATCCGCCATAATACTGAAGTAGATCCTTCTCTGTACTCAGTTACATCAAAGTAAAAACCACTCCTGAAGTCGCCTAAGTTTTGGTGATGTGGTACTTAAACGTAATGATGCGGGTGAGGAGGAAGTGGAATTCGGAGCCACGCCTGGCTGTAGGTGTGAACGCGAGGAGTGTCCGCCTTGTCTGGCTGTACACTGCGTGGTTTTGCTGGAGGCTGCGATTTTTTGATAGATTTTAAGATTCATTTTAGTTTTGAGGAAAGACACATTCAGTGAAACAACAAACTTACAAGCATGAGAAGAAAGGGCAAAGAGATCTTATAGCCACTCTTCTTAGTCATTTTTGTATTTACTTTTAAGGTGTTTTAAATGAATGTATGAAGTCAGTTCCCCACAAGTTCACACAGGTGTCCTTGTTGCAGAGTACACGCTGTAAAAAAAAAACGAAATAAAAAAAGTTCCAAATAGGGTGTTTTTTTTTCAGGAATGCCATAGAAGAACCATTTTAGGTTTCCCAAAGAACCGTCCAGGGAGCGTTTCTTAAAAGAATATTTTTCTATAACATTTTAAAGTTCTAAAAAACCTTTATCCAGTATGAGTAACCTTTTTTTCCTTCATATATAACCATCCATGGTGCTGCATTCGACAGACCGTGACATACTCTTAGGCCGACTACAAAATTACACTGGTATTCAGGGACAGGCATTACAGTGGTTTAGATCGTACTTAGAACAACGTTACCATTTTGTCTACTTAAATGGTGAAAAATCTGAGTTAACATCAGTAAATTATGGGGTGCCGCAAGGATCTGTGCTAGGCCCTCTGTTATTTTCAATATACATACTGCCACTTGGCAACATTATTAGAAAACATGGAATTAGTTTCCACTGCTATGCGGATGATACTCAGTTATATATTTCATCATGACCAGATGAAATTTCTAAACTATCCAAGTTGGCAAATTCAGACAAGACTGAGGTATTACTTATTGGACCAAAAACCTGCACACAGAATCTCTTAGAATACAATTTGCAACTAGAAGGATGTACTGTTATGTCATCATCTGCAGTTAAAGACCTGGGTGTTATATTAGACAGCAACTTATTTTTCGAAAATCATATTTCATATGTTACAAAAACAGCCTTCTTAAACCTCAGAAACATTGCTAAGCTACGGAACATGTTATCTGTTTCTGACGCAGAAAAAATAGTTGATGCATTCATGACCTCTCGACTAGATTACTGTAATGCACTACTAGCTGGTTGCCCTGCATCGTCAATAAACAAGCTACAGTTCGTCCAAAATGCAACTGCTAGAGTTCTTACCAGGTCAAAAAAAAATATGATCATATTACCCCAATTTTATAATTTCTACACCTATTAAGTTCCGTATTGATTTCAAAATATTGCTACTGACCTATAAGGCACTAAATGGTTTAGCCCCTGTATATTTAACTGATCTTCTTATGTCCTATAATCCATCACGCTCTTTAAGGTCACAAAACTCTGGACTTTTAGTAATGCCTAGGATATCTAAGTCCACTAAAGGAGGGAGAGCATTTTCTCATCTGGGTCCCAAACTCTGGAGCCTTCCTGATAATGTCCGGGGCTCAAACACACTCTCTCTGTTTAAATCTAGATGAAAGACACATCTCTTCAGAAATTTGTTTTGCTTGAAACGTTATGAACAGCAGCTATGCTAATTCTTTTCCATTTGTCTTTCTGTTCCTACCCCGGGATGCCCATCTCGAGGTATCTTGAGATTACACCAGCTCCAGTGTGGATCCAGCCTCATAGAAAGGCTTCAGATGACCTGTGAAGAGATGATGCTGACCCCTGCGAGGACCCCAGATGATGCCAACTTGAATCGTCATGCACAGCTGTCAAATTTTCTCTATATTGTAATCATTATGATCACATTTGTAATCGCTTTAATGAGCTTCTGTTTAGATAACTGTAAATGATTCTATTACCCTGAACTGTTCATTTGTTAAATGAACATTACTTGGACACAATCACTTCTGATAACAGATCAATCTAAATTGTAATGTGGACACATGCATTTTCAGTAAAGCTGCTTTGAAACAATGTGTATTGTGAAAAGCGCTATACAAATACATTTGAATTTAATTGAATTGAATTGAATGGCAAAAAATAACCTTTGATGGACACATGAATGTATATATGAATGTAACGTTTTGTTTTGTTATCTAATGAAATGCCATACATTTCTAATCGAGGGTCCAATTACTTTGGAATCGGTGTATTTAGCTTTCTTACAACTTTTTCTCTTTTGCCCTGATCCCTTTGTTGATCTTCTTATTTTCTGTTACATTGCAACTAAATCTGAAATGATCTTAAAAATCAAAAGATAATCAATATAACAATGAAATAATGTAATAGCGTTTACTTACTGTAAACGTTATTTCATACTGAAGTTCATAGATATCCATCTTACTGGTTGAGCAACATACTAGATCTGTTTTTAAAAGGAAATGCGAGTCAAGGTTTCTTCTCTGTGTGAACGCCAGACACTTAACACCATTCTTCCTATTTCACACCTGAAGAAAGCTATTAAAAGTTTAGGGGATTTTTTCATAATATCCTGTGACCTTTAAATAGAAAATGCAAAGGCCTCTGTGAATTGAAAGTCAGATTCCCAAATCCCAAACAGGAATTCATGCCCACAGCGGCGTGGAAATCCTCCTCCTTTATAACGGGATGGGGGAGGGGGGCTCTTCGTGCATGCCTGAGCATTGCCTGTGCAGATGTCAAAATATCCTCCATTTATTACATGCTATGTGGCATGCTGTAACTTGTTGCATGTAACTCTTACTGCTTAAAAGGATAGTTCACCCAAAAATGGAAATTGTGTAATCATTTACTCATCCTCATGTTTTCTAAACCCTTCATAAAAGGAGATATTTTCAGTGAATATCAGTGTATTGATTTGATGTTTTTTTTGCCTATAAGCATACAACAATTCAATGTGTGTCCACTGTATGGACAAAAAAATCTTCCAAATATTTTCATTGGAGTCCTGAAGAAAAAAGAAGCACTACAGGTTTGGAATGACATAAGGGTGAGTAAATAATAACTACATTTTCATTCTGGATAAACAAATCCTTTTACTTGTCCTCAAGTATCAATGAAAAAAATAATAATAATAATGAAAAGTTAATTGCATTCATATTTTTATGCAAAATACATTGTAATATTTTCTCAGAATATATTGAGCAAGAATGCGTTTGTATACCCATGAAGTTACATATAGTCTGAAAACGTTAGCAGTTTTGCTTCATTCAAAACAGATTTGCTGAACCAACTGAAAACTGAAAAATTACATTTACTCAACACAAGAATGTATGTGTCTGTGATAAATGTAGAAAGATTGTTTTAGTTTATTTAATTGTTAAACAAGTCTAAACACGTTTTAATTCTTTACTGAACATTTCATTTTTATTAAAATATTTGAAACCATATTGATTTGGTTTTCAATTTTCAAACCATTCTAAATGATGCTTCCAAATAATTACAGATTATTAACTTTAAAGCCAGCTAGATAACTCTATAGATATAATAATTTTCAAGATATTTCTTGTTGTCGAGCCCTTTTTATTTATTTGTTAAACATATAATGTCAGTGCATTTAGAGTTAGACATCCCACAATAAAAAAATACCAGTCATTTACAGCCATTGTTAAAAAAAATATCATTGCTATTTCAAAAAGACAGTTATAATAGACATGGTCACTACATGGAAACAAGGAAAAAAGAACACCAGAAGCAATTTCACTCTCATCTGCAATGGGTTTCTTAACACAAGAAAAGTTGGATGTTGAACAAACAGTGTCTCTTTAGTAGTGGTAATGAGGTATTTACAAAGATATTAAATAAAAAGCGCTGGTCGTCTTCATTGAATTTAGTGTAATTCAGAGCCTTTCTCCGTCTGTTGGAGTGCCAAATGTTCCGACCCACTTACGTCATCCAGAGGTTCCTGTTTTATTGTGATGGAAATTTTTGATGGTAGGGGCTCTCCTGACAAAAAAGTGTCCAAGGAATGAGGTTTGTCCTGTGCCAGTGTGCAGAGGGACGCATGGGATGCCAGTAGCATTTTCAGCTGCTCTTTCTCCCGTTGCAGGCAGCTCACCTGCCTCTGCAGCATGACCTGCTCCATGTGCAAGCGCTCAGTCTCCTGAAAACAAATTCACAGCTGGATCCCATTAGCATGTGCTGGTTATTACGTAACAGAACCAGATTCCCTGAAGCAGAGTGTACTGCATTCTTAAAAATAAAGGGTGCAAATGAGGTTTTCATATAGCATAGAAGATCCATTTTAGGTTCCCTAAAGAATCTTTAAGTGAACAGCTTTCTTAGTGTAAAGAGCATTTGAATATTCTTAAGAATTTCTTTCCTCTATAAAGAACCTTTGTGCATTGGAAAGTTTCAATGGATCTTAAAGGAACAGTTCATTCAAAAATGGGTGCTGCTGTCAGAATAAGAGTCCAAACAGCTGATAAAAACATTACAATAATCCACATGACTCCGGTTCATTAATTAACATATAGTGAAAAGCTGCATGTTTGTATGAAACAAATCCATCAAGGCATTTTAAATGAAAACCATTGCTTCTGGGCAAAATAGCAGTCTATAATCCATAAAAATGCTTGAAAAAGTCCATCTTCTGCTGTCCTCTCACATCAAAATTCCCCAATATGTTTTGTACTGTTTTCACTTGTAAACACTTGATCTGTGCATATTTCTCTCCTGATTCAGACGAGATATTATAGAGGAACTTTAGCCAGAAGCAACAATTTGTAGTAAAAAAAAAATGATGGATTTGTTTTTTAACTTCACAGGACATTAATTGATGGACTGGAGTCGTGTGGATTATTGTGATGTTTTTATCAGCTGTTTGGACACTCATTCTGACGGCACCCATTCACTGCAGAGGGATCCAGCAAGTGATGTAATGCTACATTTCTCCAAATCTGTTCCCATGAAGAAACAAACTCATCTACATCTTGGATGGCCTGGAGATGAGTAAATTTGGGTGAACTATTCCTTCTTCACTGGAAATGCCAATAAACAACCTTTGTTTTTGAGAGTGTGACTGTCCATTCTTATTTCGGTTTCCCAATTGAAACTATGAAACATTAATTTATGTGTTGTTAATACCTGGGTGATTCAGTCAATCATATATAATTCTTAAATTACAAAAGTCTAAAACTGGACAAACAAGATTTCTCAGAAAGGTGCACCACCCTGAACACAGTATGAAAATAAAAATGGCAGTACAGCCCTATTATTCACCTCCTGAAGAAGGTCAAGAAGTTCTCGTCTGCGGTTGCGGCATTTGGCAGCAGCCATTTTGTTACGCTCTCTTCTCCGTCTTATCTTCTCCTCTTCATCTGGAGTGAGCTAATAATGAAGCAATATAACAGAGTATTATTTTAAAAACTAGAATCACATATTTATGTCCGTCTTTACTTTATTGATCTGTTGTTACCTTTTAAAGGGGTCATATGATGTTGCTAAAAAGAACATTATTTGGTGTATTTGGTGTAATGAAATGTGTTTATGCGGTTTAAGGTTAAAAAAACACATTATTTTGACTCTTAACTTTTATAAAGAATATCTCTTTGGATTTGAGACTTTAGTCTTTGCAACTTTACAGATCTTCTTTATGCACCAAGAGCTTGTAACACTCCAAAGAGAAAGGAAAAATTGAAATCGCATCATGTGACCCCTTTAAAGATTGATGCAGTTATAGAGAGAGGAGACTGGGGCTAGTTGTCACACTGGAAAGTTGCCATAGTACAAGCTGAACACAAATGTGTGTTTTAGATTCTGATTAAATTAGGATATTTTGGTGTGAATTCAATATATCAACATCATCCTATTTTGCTATAGCCTTATAACACTCATTCAGGCAGAGGCCATCTACATAATCGTTAAAAGTTGAACAGGACGAGCATTTTTGGAAAAACTGCAATCATTTATTATTTATTAATGACAATATCTGTTGACCAAAACATTTATATATATATATTTTTTTATCAATGTGTTTATTGTATGCATAAGTCTATACAGAAATAATAATGTGTTGTATTTGAAGTCTTTTTACCTGTATATTTCTTTTGAAGCGTTCTCTCTGGTTTGCTGTAGATTCACTGGTCTGCTCCAGACTCTCACTGGGCATCACTGGCTCGATTATCCAGCGCAGCTCTTGTCTCGATGGGACTGCATTGACAGTGGCGATAAAAGGACTTTTGTATATCTGCATTTCGACCTGGCTGAAAAGAGAAGAGGGGGAAAAAGATGCGGTAAATGAAATGAGATCAAATGGAAAATACTGCGTTTGTACGTAGGTTTATGTGCTTATATTAAATGGTTAAAACATGCGAATTCATTGACCTAAAACATAATTACTCACCTGATGGAATCGGAGATGTCGCCTCTAGAGATGCAGTTGCGTTCAGTTGCGTTCATTCCAAATATCTCCAAATTAAATGGTATTTCGCCATGGATTTATGCTGGTTGAGGTGTAGGCTATTAGTCCCGATGTTGAAATTCCAGTTCCACCCATGCACCTCTCAATCAGTGCAGCAACAGGCATTCACTGGCCTAGTATTGTAATCATGTGAATGACGAATGTCTCCTAAAAAGGGCAGTTGCGTCAGAGCGCAAGCGTTTCATGGACGTGGAATTACCTACTGTGAGTGAGTTACATGTGTTTCCACGCACTGGAGGCACTCATCCATCAGGATAGACACATACACAGCCTAAATAAATACACATGCTCTATCAGTGTCTTATATATACTGTTATTAAAATTTCCTTCATTTTCATTTGATTAGTTTGTGATGCAGAATAAATAAAACATTAGGCTATTGTTTTTAATTTTATTGTATTTATAAAACATCTTGCTGGTGTTATCTGGTCTCAATTTTTTTCCCCCAACAGGGTTAAAAAGGGAAATTCTAGAGTAGATATATGCATATATTTAATTTCTATTGATATTTTCTAAAAACTTTTCTAAAATGGATTATGAGAAACTGTATAGACATTTGTTGAAAGCTGATACACTGTCACATTTCGTAATGTTTTTAAATCATTTGAAGTGCATTGTTATGACTAACTGTATCTGACAAACATGTTTCTTTAAACCATAATTAGCATGCAGCAGGGCTTGGGTTTATAAGTTCCATATAATAGCCATGCTGGAATTAATGAGCAAAAACACAGAGGGTTCTTAGACTAAACACAGAGACCTATGCCTGCATCTGTGAGCACTTGAGTGTGTTTATGTATGTGTGTGTTTAGCAGGGAACAGCATGTGCTCGGCCACACTACCGCGGTTGTGTAGGAGTGAATGTCACACAAGAATATTCTCCAAGGCTCAGTGTTATCACAGCTCAAATGACATTTTCTTAGAGATTCAAACTACCTTACCTTCAGACTGAGATGCATTTCACACAGATTTTTGTGAAAATGAGCCAAGAGAATTCTGCTTATGCACATCTTGCGTCAAGTAACAACATTTTTGTTAACATGTGTTACATGATTAGTTTATACAGCTGTCCATATTTGTCTTATTTTAATGGACACACCAAAGCATATTGAGGCTAGTTACTGTGCCGTTTGTTAAAGACACAATGATATAATGTAAGAGTGTGCGGGACTAAAGGACATATTATATGTGAAAGAGCTCATTATTAACCCACAAAGAGCACGAGAGGCCGGATATGTGAGTAGGCATAAGAGCGGACACAAGTAGAACAAAAACTCAGGGAATAAGATAAAGAAGGATGGATGAAGGTAATGGAATAGCAAGATGAAGAGAAAAGGGAAATTATGTTTTTCTTCATCCGTGCTTATAGGCCTGCCTGTAGCTCATTCGATTTTTAGTGTGAATGCAATAATTAAACACTAATGCATCCATTAGCAAAACCTGCATTCAACCTGTTGCTTGGCAACACCACCAGCTCTCAATTACATAGTAACACTGCAGTCTCTGTCCATATATCTTGGCTGCGTTTCATCAAACATGTGACAAGATGCAGTTGAATAGTGCTGGTAACTACAAATAATGGGAATCAAACATGGGTTTTTGTTCCATCAAGCTTATATTTATGCATTTGCCAGACACGTTTAATCAAAGCACATTGCATTCAGGGTATACATTTAATCAATCCATCCAATCCCCTAGCTGGGAATCACACTCATGACCTTGACAGAACTAGCACTGTGTTCTACCGTTTGATAAAACATAACACAAATACACAGTCATGTCAGTATGGAATCAAACTCATAAAAGGAGGCGGCCCATTCAAACCAGTGCAGATTCGGCTACATAAGGAGCTTAAAATATCATCTTGTTGTGATGTTGGGTGCCAGAATCGACGTAATACAGCCTCAAATTAGAAATTTGATCGCATATCTGCTGCCACTGCCAGACAAAAAACCGACGATGTGGTTAAACGCGATAAAACTAGCAGACTGGACAGAAACGATCGTCAAAAATGCTCACGTTTGCAGCGCACACTTCTTATCAGAAAAGGTTCAATAAAGTATTATCTTTTGTTGTTATGGGCGCGTCTACAGATTTCTTGCCATATGTCTATGTTTCTTGCATCTCACGACTATGTCGTGTATGAAATAATGTCTGTCTGTGTGCATGTGTGTAAAACAACAAACGGACAATTTATATATAATAAATTGTAATTGTATATACATTGTTGTGATTAATTGTGGCTGGAACAATAATGTAGCTGTAAAAATAGTTGCCTGCTGAAA